GAAATATGAAGTCATCTCCAGTCGCAGCCTGACTGGAAAAGGCCTTTGGAATTCACGTCACCTCCAAACAGCTGCGAAACTTCTAGTATGGAGTCACCCATGAACTACCTGGAGACCAACTCTCTGGAAGACCTCCAACATCGAGCAGCTCCGACAACGTCGCTACGGTCTAGGACATCATCTTCACCACAGTCGCCAAGGCGCGGGTGATGGTATGGACCGGACGTACCTGGAATGGAAAGACCGATATTTTCTTCGTGGGCCCCGGACTGGAAGTGAGCGCTGACGGTTACATCGACCAACTCGAGGAGAATATCTTGCCTTCATGTCGTCGCCTGTCATCTTGCAAACTTCGTACTGCGATTGGGTCGTACGATTGGGTGCTAGCACGTGGAATCAAAGGGTGTTGGAAGAACTCTCAGCCTACTTGGAATCGAAGGGCGGTGAGAACCTGAAGAGGACAGAATATTCAAGTGTGTCACCTGACCTAAACCCCCTCGATTACCGGGTTCGGGAGGAGCTCAACAGGGTGGTCTACAGTGGCGGAGAAATCAACGACCTCGCTGAACTCAGGCACCGAATCACGGTCGCGTGGCAGAATCTCTCGATGGCGCTCGTCCAGAAGGCTGTGGCGGAGTATCGCAATAGTGCACAGTGTGTTGTTGAACATGATGGTGGAAATGCCCATCAGAATTCAATAAAATGTTACTTATATCTCCTTGAAAGTAAGGAAGAAAAGTGCCTTTTTATTATATTTTATAGGGTATCCCTGTAAACTTGGCAATTCACTTGGGATGTTTAGCAAGTTTTACTTCGGCTGCAATAGTGCCTATCTAAGGATATTTGCTGGGCAGCTGCGATATAGTTGATAACGTGACAATCAGTCGGGGCGGTACCAGGACGGGCGAAATGAGCCTGCTTCCACGCCTCGCTCTATGGCGCCATGGATGGGCTCGTTATCCATCACTCCTGAACCCGCTCCTGATTTGTAGCCACCGATATCAACTATATAGCTAGGACTAGAGCGATTTGCACGATTGCTAGGCGGTGGGCGGTTGCTGCCAGCGACATTGCTGGGAGAGCCGCGAGAGGGTGTTGATCCCTACCCTGCTCAGCCCTTCTTAACCCTGGCTACAGCCGCCCGTCTCCAGCGATCGTGTCCACTGTCTTTAAAAACTTGATTCGTGTTCAAAAACAGGCACATCCGTAAAGAAAGGTTCCAGTTCTGTGTCTAAAAGCAATTTTCGGTCTACTAACCTTCGGTACAAGATCAATGCTAAATCGCCTCCATTCCGATTCCACCACTTCACGAACTTTCTTCTCCTCAACATTGTCGCCCTTATCAACCTTCATCATCGATTCACTGAAAAACTCAGCAAATAAGAAGATTTCCCGAATTTCACTTCTGAAGCCTCACAGTTTCCTCGTTTACCTTGCAGGCATCCATTCTTGATGCACATTGCGCACAGTTTTTCGCGTACCTAACGCCATTAGAGATTCACCATCACCAAGTTTGTCGTTATACTTGGAAATATCCGCTTCTGCTTCCGCAGGTTTCTGGAAACACAGAATAACCTGGACAGTGAGAGCATCCTATTGCCAGCTGTGTTCTCCGAGTATGCAACTCTGGCAACCCAGCTCCAGCTTCTCCTTGCGTATTGGGTGGTCTTTAAACGTGACAACTACACAATCGCCTTAGTTGCAGACTCAAGTAATGCAAGTCTGAAGAAGTCATAATTTTAAACTGAAACGTGCCTGCTGCTGCTCCACCCAATCACCGATAGTTGTTAGGTTGAACGAAGCCCAATCGCCTCCATAGAATTTGTTCCTGGAAGTAATGAATTAGAAAGGATTGACTCCTTCCATCAAGTTGGAATTGACTATTTTTTCATTTGTTTACAAATTTACTATACTGTTCCATCAGACACACCACCTTCTCCCTTGGACGACTCTTGACCGTTCCTTTCTCGAACAAGCAACATCATCTGCTAAGGTAGCTATCAGAATTATGGCGTGACTGAATCAGGCTTCTACGCTCATTACTGGCCATCATTATGTTTCCAACAAGGCAGCCAACAGGCTATGGTAACCCGCTAGCTGCCCGGTTGGGAACGCTACGCATGATGCTCGAACCTCGTACCCTCCCCCCCCCTGCTTGGTTGCAGAACGTTTAATGTCACGGTGCGCGCTCACTTTGCAGTTTCCCTCGTTTTTGGCATAAG